ATCTTTGATCTGGGCTTGGATTAGAGGGGAGGGGCTCCTTTGCCAGTTCCATTACTCCTGGGCCTGGGTCTCGACCACTCACCCACTTTTTCTCTTCCCATGCCCTTTTCAGAACTTATGGTTTGCCAACCCTGGAGGCAGCAACAGCATGCCCAGCCAGAGCCGTAGCTCTGTGCAGCGCACGCACTCGCTCCCAGTCCACTCCTCGCCGCAGGCCATTCTCATGTTCCCTCCAGGTAAAGTGCCCTAGCCCTTGGGATTCTGCCTCCACAACACCCTTAGCTGGCCTTTATCTTCTCTCCTATTTCTTTTACACTCGAGCACCTCTCCCCATCCTTCCAACCTCCTCTCATCGTGGGTTTTCTTGTACTCTTCCCCACCCCCATTTCAATTTTCTCTCTCAGATCTTTTCTTCCTTTCTCTCTTGGTTTTAAATATGCATTTCATCTTGTGCAGGGGCCATACTAATCTTCTCTGTATCATTCCAATTTTATTACATGTGCTGCCAAAGCGAGCACTGCCTTCCTTTCTCTTTCGTCTCTCACCCCTTACTTCTACTCCCGCATGTCCACATCTCTCCCTGTCATAATTTTGGTATCCATGTCGGTCTCTGTCACCGTCTTTTTAGAGGATCATTAAGTACTCAGTTTGAAAGGGGTTGAGGGGATGAGAGTCAAAGCAATGAGGGTTTTTTGGAGGTGTCTATCAATCTGGCATTCTTTCAGAAGCCAGGTGACCAGGCTGGAACCATTTAGCTCTTGGAACAGATTTTTCTTGGATCAAACACCTAAAGGGTGTTTGAGTTGGAGGGACTGTTTTTCCTGTGCTCACAGACCAGCCCAGAGATAGATCAGAATGAGGGTGAAGAGGACAGAAGGGGAGAGAAGTGTTAGCCCTACCTTGCTCAACCAGTGAGGATACTCCTCCTGTGCCAAGCCCGTTGCTGGGCACCAAGGCTGCTGAGGCAGATAAGGCTACTCTGGAATGGCTGCTGGAGAAACCTTAGATATGCAGGTGACCCTAAACTCTTGTTGTCATAAACTGCCAAATCAGTAGGTATTCTTAATTTATAAGATAATGTGGACTGCCATCTGTTGAAGGTAAGAGGCCCTATTAGTTGTGTTCATCCTTGCACAGGGCCTAGCACCTGTAAATGATGTTACAAGATGATGAACTGCAGGAACAACAACAACAAAAAAGAACAATTCTTTTTACTGGTATGCTATGTGCCGGGCTTTTGTCAGACAGTTTTACTGCACTGTTTAATCAAACCCTCCCAACTGCAAGTGAGGGCACTGATTTCATTCCTATCTGATCAGTCACAAATCTGAGACACAAATAGGTAACTTGCCCAAGGTCAAAAGGGAAGACAATTAGGTGGTCTGACATGGCCTGAGTTCAGGGTTCAGAGGAGACATGATGAAAGGTGAAGCTGGAGGTGGGAGCAGGGTCTCTTAAACCCAGGTAAAAAGCTCAGATGTAAGGAGCCAGGAAGGGTTTTAAGCAGTGTGGGGTGGGTCTCAGACTCCAGAAGAGGAAGCCCTTTTGAGAGGTGGTTTGAGGATAAGCCCCGTGGCTGCTGCCCTGGTTTGCCCCATCTGCGTGGCCTGCCCGGATTGAATCCATCCCAGAGGAGAAAGTCCAAGAAAGAATGGGAAGAGTTCTAATTAAGCTTCTAAATGAAGTATAGAGCAGGTCATCAGTCAGGGAACACAGTGGCTGCCCAGCACCCACAGCAGATACCCAGACTATGCCCAAGAAGACACCGTATAGTATGTGTCCAAAATAGTCACAGGCTGTGTAGACCTCAGCTTCACATTACTCTGTCTACAGGTCAAGCTTTCTATTTGTTGGCCAAGCCTGTGCCCTTGCCATCTCTACCTTTTTTTTTTTTTTTAATTGATTTTTTACAGAGAGGAAGGGAGATGGATAGAGAGTTAGAAACATCGATGAGAGAGAAACATTGATCAGCTGCCTCCTGCACACCCCCTACTGGGGATATGCCCGCAACCAAGGTACATGCCCTTGACCAGAATCGAACCTGGAACCCTTGAGTCCACAGGCTGACGCTCTATCCACTGAGCCAAACCGGTTAGGGCTCTACCTGCTTTGTGATACACCCAGGCCTGTCTCTGTCCTTCACCTCTGCCTAGTTACACCTTCCATCCGAGTGTGTGCCTGTCTCATGTGCTGTTTCTCTGTCTCTCTCTCTCTCCCTCCTTTTCCCCCTTGTCTCTCCCAGCCTCTCCCCAATGCCAGCCTATCCTGTCCTTTGTCTTCCCAGCTTTACTCTCCACCTAAGTCCAGTCCTTACCACCTTCATTCTCCTCTGTCCCATACAGACTGTCCGGTCCCTGGGCCTGACCTGGAGATCAACCCCACTCTGGAGTCTCTGTGTCTGAGCATGACAGAACACGCCTTGGGTGGTGAGCATTTCCTCTTTCCCTGACCCAGCTCCCACCTACCCAGCAGCGTCTCCACCTCTGAACCGAGCAACTCATAGTCATCCTTGAGGGGGCCCTCGGGGAGGCTGTACTTCAGGGAGGACCTGACTGGGATGGCAGGCTACCTGAAGCATCTTTTCTCAAGCCTCCCACCAGCTCCTGATCTTCCTCCCTTCCTCCCTTTCTTACCACAGATGGGACAGACAAAACCTCCACCATCTGACGGGACCCACAGCCCAGCGCACCCATAGGCTCCCTGGGCGGCGGGCGGGGGCCAACCCCCAACGGGCTTCTCTGCGACAGCGAGAGGGTGGGCTGGCTCAGCTATACATTCTAATATTTTTCTACTCTCTCATCCTTTTAACTTTTGTTTAACATTGGCACCTGCCTTGCTCACTCTCGGGCCCATTGAGGGATCTCTGCCGAGGCCCAGGGAAGTAGGGGGCAGCCAGAATAAAGGGGGCAGGAACTTGGCCAGCCTGCCTGCCCCCCTTTCCTTCCTTATAGCTCATCTGGCCCGATCCCACCCCTGCTTCCTCCAAAATGTTCACCTGCCCCTCCTGAGGGAGCAGCTCCCTAATCCCCTGAGACTCACTGACCCACTATCTTATGGGGCCTGCTCAGAACCATCAGACATTTGGGGAGAGACAAGCTGGGTAGATAACCTGCTCTCCTGAATATTATTTTGAGAGGCGCTAAGGAGAAGGTAGGTGAGGAGAGGAAGCTTTCTCCTCGCCACCTTCTTCTCCTTCCCAATTTCCATCATTCCCCGAGGACAGGAGCCATCCTCTTCTCACTCACCTCCTTTTGCCCTGTTTATCAGAGGTTCTCTACAATTAATTTCTTAGGCCTATTTAAGATACATATTTATATAGTTCTTAACGGTTTTTCTCTGATCATTCCCTCTCATTTTTAGAATCCCCAGGCCTCTTTCTGAGCCAAGAAAGTGGCAGGGGGAACCTGAATTTTATGAGGGGAGAGGGGCAGAGCCCCCTCCTCCAGACCCCCTAGCTCTTCCCCACTTCCCCCCAGCCTTGGCTCCCCAGATGCATAAGTTGAAGGTGGGGAGCCAGGACAGCCAATGAGGTCAGGAAGTCTGTTGCCTTAACATCCCCTTCCCCCATCAACATACTCTTCACTCCCAGGTCTGGTTGCTGAAAGACTTGGGGGTAAGGAATAAGGGAAAGGGGATTGTTTGGTTTTGGTTTCTTTCCCCACCCCCTTTCTCTCATCCTTCCCCCACTCCCCATTATGTCATGACCTCATTAAGTGGAACACTATATCATAACCCAGAGATTCCCCCAGCCCTGGAGTCATACAGAGCCTCTGGTCCCTGTTCCTACTGCTGGGTTGTGCTGGGGCCCAGGTGGAGGGAGGGGATTTGAGGGTTCAGGTTGTGGGGGAAGCCAGGGTCCCCTATTCCAACTCCCTCCCCCCTCAACCCTCCCATACACACTGGGACATTCTCAAGCTTTTCACACCGAAAGGGAAAAAATGTTATTTTTAGATACATTTTATGAATAACTTTTGTTATGAATATGGCTGGTAACCATTGTGTATGTTATTAAAGATGTTGGGAAAAAACAAAAAACCAAAAAAATTTTAAAACCACCACCCTCCCAGCACTCTCACCCCATTCCCCTACTTTTGCCCCTGCCCTCCAGGTCTCGACCTCCCTCAACTCTGAGCCCAGGGAGAGGGAAAAAGCCTGGGGGAGAGGGGGTGTAGCCCTGGGGACCTGCTCCAGGTCCCTACCTCCTCTCCCAGTGCCGGGCTGGGTGGGGTGTCAGGTTTATTTATGTACCTCTTGCACACTCATCAACCTATGCAAGTCCCCCACCCCGGCCCCTCCATGTTTCTGTGCCTTTGCTCATTCCCCTCAAACTCCCAGGGCTTCCCCAATTCCCCTCCCACTAGCCCAGGGAAGTGGGATGGACAGGGGCCACCTCGTTTGGAATCTGCAGGGTGTCCCTCTTACAGGACCCTCACCTCCTCCCAGCCAGTCCCATCTTGTTCATTATTCATCAGGGTGAGCTGGCTCTGCCTGGCACTGGGAGGTAGTGAGGGACACCCTCCCCCCCAACACACACACACAATGGGAGGCAATGCTGCCTCCCTCCCCCAACCTGACCAGAGTGTGCAGGACGCTGGCGGCCTCACTCTGATGGGCAGGACCCTGACCCTCTCCAGCTCCAGCCCCTCCCCAGCCCCCAGACACTCCCCCGCCCCCGCCATGATTTCACCCTCCCTTCTATCCCCAGCCCCACTGGCAGAATCAGCTTTGAGTAACTGTACAGTTTTTCTCGCTGTTGGAGATTTATTTGTTGGCGTTTCACTTGTTTAATGGTCTGGGCTTATTTTGGAAAAAAAAAAAAAAAAAGAAACAACATAACAAAAAAAGGATTCTGATCTTTGTTATGCTACATTTCCTTGAAAACCTGTGGCCTTTGCTTCTATGCTGTTAAGCTGAGGCCACTGAGTACCGGGTGTAGGGATGGAGAAGGTGATGGAGTGCAAGGGGGGCGATGTAGACAGAAGGAGACCGTAAGGACTGGGAAGGGGAGAAACTGGTTTTATTAACAGCAAAGGGTTGGAGGAGGGAAGGGAAACAGTGAAAGGCTCACAAATACACCACAGAAAAGTGCCTTCCTGCACATAATAATCATGTCTGCGCCAGCCCTGAAAGGACTCAGTCACTGTCACTGTCTGCTTCGCTGGAATCAGAAGCTGGGGCTTCGCTGCCATCCTCCTGGGCTGAGTGCTCACTGCCACTGGGGAAGGGACTGGCGCTGCCACTGGGGCTGCGGCTGGGACTGGGGCTCCGGTGGTCACCTCCATCGCTGCCACTCTCTGAATCATTGTCACTGCCATGGGCCCGTCCTCTGTCTTCGTCATCAGAGTCGGCGTCCTCTGAATCCGCATCACTGCCGAAGATCTCCTCTTTGTCCCGGGCAGCTCGGGCCTCATCCTCACTGCTCTCCTCGCCGCTACCACTCTTGTCACTTGCTTCATCCCTGTCACCCTCTTCCCGCTCACTCTCACTGCCTGAGCGCTCATCCTCACTGCCTTCTTTCTCACTGCTGCTGTCCTTCTCTTGCTCCTCATCTGTGAGGGAACAGAAAGAAGTGAGACCCAGTTTCCCACCCTCCCAGGGTTTCCAGGGATTAGCTTATGCAGCTTTACCTGAGCCCCCAGCTTCTTTCTCTTCTGTCTCCATTTCCTCTTCCTCCTCTTCCTCGGGTTCATGGTTCTCCAGCTGGGCCTTCCGTGCCTCCTGGGAAGCAGCAGGAGGGGAGGGAAAGTATTCTGTCAGGCTTTTGTTTCCCTCTTTACCCACCACCACCCTCCCCATGGGTGCCCTGAAACAGTGGTACTTGTTACCTGGGCTTCTAATTCCTTCTCATTCATGTCCCGGTGTTTGACCACAAGCAGGGCATTGGTACCCGACTGAACCCCAGCCTTGGCCCTGCGCTTACTTAGGCGGACCCTGCAGTGGGCAAGTTGGGAAAGGGGTGAGGAAGATGCAGTTAAAAACCCCAGTGAGGGGTGTGGTTCAACTTGGTTCTTCAATTCCTCACCAATGCTTAGCCCAGAACAGATAAGAATAAATACAGATTTAATAAGGGAAACTAAACTCTGGTTTGGGGGCAGAGGAGGGGAAGGGTTATTGCTCCCAAGATACCAATTTGATTGCCCTGCACTTTATAAAGTGTGTGTATAGGACTTTAATGTGAGTTAGTTACCAACACTTAAAAACATAGAACCTAGATCTCTGGTTTAGGGAAAATATGAATCTATGGCCCCGTTACACAGGCCTCTTAGCCTTCCACCACAGACCAGCAATGGGTTGGAATCTTTTGCTGAGCTGGGTTGTGGTGCCCCATGGAGAGTGCCAAGAGCTCTAGGTCACCCAGACCCCACCAGCCCATTGTGCCTTCTTTCACATTTCCTCGTTGGCTTACAGGATCAGAATTTGTAATCTCTACTTAAAATTCAAGGTCACACTTTTTCCCAACCCTTATACCAAAGGCCCCAGCCAAAAATAAACTTTTAGCCATCAGGGAAAAGTTTTGGGGTCATATTTTTTAACTTGGGTATCCAGGATTTCATTTTAAATATGCTAATTTTATGTATAATCCCATACTTTAGCTATGTTTACTTTCACATGAAGTCTCTTAATATCAGGAAATTTGGCTGTCTACCCTGCATAAAAGGTCTAAATATCTCTAGTGGGTTACTGTGTTAGAAACAGATCTAGCCCACATGCATGAGCAGGCTTCTGCTAGTCGCTTACAAATGCATGTGACAAATCCTTAGGTACAAATGACCTCTAAGGTGGCATATCCTAGGGTCTTGACCCTGAAGCATGGGCCCAGGCTACTCTGAGGTAGAAATCTGAGGTATATGCGCTGAGTACCTGGTCTCCAACTCATTGTAGTAAACTCCATCACCCTCTCGGAAGATGAAGAAGTAGTTTTCCTCATAACCCTTGCTAGCTTTGTTCTTCACATTCCAGTTGTATTCCCGAGCAATCTTGTAGTCATATCTGAGGATAAGGGGGACAGGGTTAGCCCCATTTCTTCCCTTTGAGGGAGAAAGACACACTTCTCAATCCCCAACCCACGCACACATCATCCGGTGCATAGTCCATTTCCTCTTCCTGGTCCCGCTTTCGTTTCTTCAATGTCTCTTCCACAGGCAGGAAGTAGGCCACAAACTGGTTTCCTTCCTCATCCATCATGCCCCTGGTTGGGGGAAGAGGAAGAGCTGTGATAAATGAGGACAAAGGGCAATGAGAAATAGGCCAAGGTTGGCAACAGGGACACTTACCTGATCATGGCTTGAGACATCATCTCCAATGCAGCTGCACCACTCGTGTCCTTGGGGGCTGGGTCTGAGTCAAAGATTACCTGAGCACATGGATTAATCCACATCTGTTGGACAGAGGACACTGGAGTTAGAAGTGAGACGTGCAGAGATGACAGGCTATCTCGCTCTGCCTCCTGTATCAAATCTGACCTTAAAGTCTGGGAAGACGGGCATGACCTCCACCGGTGTCACTCGGGGCTTGCTGTAATGCTGGGAGATCTGGTAGGGACAAAAACAGGGTGGTGAGGAGGAGGAGGATGAAGAGCTTTGAAGCCACCTCTTTTTCTGCCTCCCCATCTTAGTCCCTCAGTTACCGACTTCTGGGCATCCTCAAAAGTCTTCTCAATGGCTGTTATCTGGCTATCCCTATCTTTGTAAATTTCTTCCTCAGTGAACTGCTGTTTTACAGAAACCCCAATCCTAAGGGTGAAGAGAAAGAAAGGCCTTTAGGGACCACTGGACACACCTGAAATTTCTACCTTCCCTCCCTACCTACCACAACTTACTTCACCTCAGGCTTCTCATTGGAGATGCCGTAACGGTTGAACTCAGTGGAGATATACTCTGTCTTCCGCATCCATGGCACCACCTTTGCATGCTGCTGAGACCTAAGGTGGAGGATCAGACACTTCAGGACCTCACCACCCTCCTTCCATTGGAGCCAGTCCCCAGTCCCCACTCAGCATCCTACCCGCTCACCTCTTGGAGCTAGTGGGGGCCTGAATCTCTTCTTCCAGAAGCTTCTCATCAGCTGGATCTAAGAGTACTAGAGGAGAGAAACCATGATGGAGGTCCAGGCCTGGCCTTTGCTAGTCTAAAGCAGGTCCTCCCTGCCTCCCTACATACCATTGGGGTCAATGCGGTAGGTGTCAGGGTTGATGAGGTCAATGGTGACCCCCAGGTCTGGCTCAGTCAGGAGGTCATGTTTGTGCTGTTTTTCCAAGGAAGTTGCTTTGTACTGAACAAACCTGGATAGGGAAACATGCCCATTATGGTTTCCTGACTCAGCTTTACCCCTCAAATCCCTGCTTCACAGAGGCTAAACTTCTACAGGGAGGAACTCAAGAGCGGAGTGTTCCCCCATGTCCAAGTCTGAACACTTGCTCTCCAATGGAAAGAGACTTGGACACTGCTTGCTCATTACCAAATATTTATCAGGCACCTACTACTGTAGTATGTGCAGGGTACTGTTCTAGGCCCAGAAGAGAGAACAATCAACAAGAGAAGCAGTCCTTGCCTGCAAGGAGCTCATACTCTGAGTTGTTTCCCATTCCCAATCTTAAGTCTCACCTGTTCTGGTCGAAAGGGTAGGTAATAAACTTGGGGTCGAAGGGGATGTCAGGGAGGCTATTGCAGTACTTGACTCGGCAGACCACTCCAGATCTAGGAATAGAACAGCTCCTTTAAAAAGCTACTATGAAGGTCAAAAGAAAAAGTATCAAACTCAAACTACAGTAAGTAGAGAGGAGACAACACAAAAAAGACCTAAAACAACATCAATAACATAAAATGTGGAGGGGGTGTAAAAATGTAATCCTTATAGAATATATTTGAATTTAAATGCCTATTAGCTTAAAATAAACTGCTAGTGATAGCCATAAACCTCAAAAGCTATACAAAACCTACAAAAGTTATACAAAGAAGAGAAGGAACCCAAACAAAATACTAAAGAAAGCCAGCAAACCACAAGAAGGAACAAAGGAGAGCTATAAAAATGACCAAAAAAAAAAAAAAATGAACAAAATGGCAGTAAGTGCATACTTGCCAATAATTACTTTAAATGTAAATGGATTAAGTACTCCAATAAAAAGAGATAGGATGGCTTAATGGATTAAAAAAACATGACCCTAATTTGATGAGCAAGAATAGATCCAGCCATAATCGGTTTGGCTCAGTGGATAGAGTGTCGGCCTGAAGACTAAAAGGTCCCGGGTTCGATTCCGGTCAAGGGCATGTACCTTGGTTGTGGGCAAATCCCCAGTAGGTGTGCAGGAGGCAGCTGATCGATGTTTCTCTCTCATCTGTGTTTCTAACTCTCTATCCCTCTCCCTTCCTCTGTAAAAAATCAATAAAATATATTTAAAAAAAAAAAAAAGAAGAGATCCAGAGACAATGGGTGGGGGGGGGGGGGTGTTAGAGAGCAACCGAAGGACTTGTATGCATGCATATTAGCATAACCAATGGATACAGACGTGGGGCGGTGGGGGCTTGCCCAGGGTGGGAATGGCTGGGGGAGTGGGGGTGTCAATCAGGGAAAAAGGAGACATATGTAAAACTTTAGACAATAAGTTAAAAAAAAATGACCCAACAAGGGTAGTGGTGGCAGTAGCAGCAAAAAAGAAACAAAAACATGACACAGCTACATGTTGCTTACAAGAGACTCACTTCAAATTGAAAGACATATACAGACTGATGCCTGGCCAGTGTGGCTCAGTGGTTGAGCGTTGACCCATGCACCAAGAGGACACGGGTTCAATTCCAGTCAGGGCACATGCCTGGGTTGCAGACCCAATCCCCCCGTAGGGGGCATGCAGGAGGCAGGCAATCGATGTTCTCTCTCATTGATGTTTCTATCTCTCCCTCTCCCTAAAATCAATAAAAAAACATTTTTTAAAAAATACATATACCGGCCCAGCCAGTGTGGTTCAATGGTTGCATGTTGACCTATGAACCAGGAGGTCATGGTTAGATTCCCATTCGGGGCACATGCCCGGGTTTCAGGCTCGATCCCCAGTAGATCAATGATTCTTTTTCATCATTGATATTTGTAACTCTCTCCCTCTCCCTCTTTGAAATAAAAAAACATATATTAAAGAAAAAAAGGCATATACCAGCTGAAAGTGAAAGGATGGAAAAAAGATACCCCATATAAATAGAAGCAAAAGGAAAGCTGGATCCCTGGCCAGGTAGTTCAATTGGTTAGAGCACTGTTCTGATATGCCAAGGTTGCAGATTCAATCCCCAGTCAGGACACATCAACCAATGAATACATAAATAAGTGGAACAACAAATCAATGTTTCTCTCTAAAAATCAGTAAATATAAAATAAATGTTTTTTTAAAATATGTTTTTATTTATTTGTAGATAGAGAGGAAGGGAGAGGAAGAGATAGAAACATCTATGAGAGAGAACATCAATCAGTTGCCTCCTGCACGTCCCCTACTGGGGATTGGGCCTGCAACCGAGTCATGTGCCCTGACTGGGAATTGGATGACGCTTAATCCACTGAGCCACATCAGCCAGGCTATAAATTTTTAATAAAAATAAACTGCTGTAGCCATGGCAGCAGCTGAGACTGGTGAGCCAGGTACCGCTGCCGCGGACCAGAGAAAAACTACCTGCCAACTTCAGCCTGGGCTGTTTGCCACTGCTGCAGGGTCGGAAGCTATGGCCAAGGACATCCTGGGTGAAGCAGGGCTACACTTTGATGAACTAAACAAGCTGCGGGTATTGGAACCAGAGGTTACCCAGACCATAGAGCTCAAGGAAGGGCTTTGTGGACAAAATTGGCCCATTTCAGAAAATACTAGTAGTTGGTGGTTTACTTGAGCTTGTTGACCAACTTGCAAAAGAAGCACAAAAGGAGATGATGAAGGCCTTTGGTGCTCAGAATTTGCTCAAATCTATAGCAAAGCAGAGAGAAGCCCAACAGCAGCAATTCCAAGGACTAATAGCAGAAAAGAAAATGCAGCTTGAAAGGTATCGGGTTGAATATGAAGCCTTGTGTAAAGTAGAAGCAGAACAAAATGAATTTATTGGCCAATTTATTTTTCAGAAATGAACTGAAAATTTCATTATATAGCAGGAGGGCAGATAAAGCAATAAATTATTGTTTTCAAATGGCAAAAAATAAAATTTAAAAACTGGAGTAGCAATAACCATATCAGACAAAACAGACTTTAAAACAAAAAATGTAAAGACAAACAAGCACACTACATAATTACAGAGGGTAAATCCAAGAAGAGAATAAAGCAATTGTAAATATCTACATACCCAACATAGGAGCACCTAAATATATAAAGCAAATATTAATGGACATAAAGGGAGAAATCCACAGTAATAAAATATAGTAGGTAACTTTAATACCCCATTCACATCAATGGATAAGTTCATTGAGACACAAAATTAATAGGGAAATAATGGCCTTAACTGTCACATTAGACCAGATGGACTTAATGGACATTTATAGAACATTTCATCCCAAAAGCTGCAGAATGCACATTTTTTAAATGCACATGGCACACCCTTCAGACTAGGACCACAAAACAAGCCTCAAATTCAAAAAGATTGAAATCATTATCAAGCATCTTTTCTAACCTCAATATCATCAAACTAGTAATCAACTACGGGAAGAAAACTAGGAAAAAAAATACATGGAGACTAAACAACATAATATGTTGAAAGAAAACAACTTTTCAAGATTTATTGGATGCAGTAAGAGCAGCTGTAAGAAGGAAGCTCATAGTTATACAAGCCTACCTCAAGAAATGAGAAAAATCCCAATAGCCCTGGCCAATATGGCTCACTTGGTTGGATGTCATCCTGGGCACCAAAGGGTTGCTGGTTCAATTCCCAGTCAGGGCACATGTCCCAGCAGCAGGCATACAGGAAGCAGCCAATCGATGTTTCGCTCTCACATCTATGTTTCTCTCTCTCTCTAAAAATAAATTCTTGCCCTAGCCATTTTGGCTCCGTGTATAGAGCATTGGCCTGCACACTGAAGGGTCCTGGGTTCTATTCTGGTCAAGGGCACATGCCTGGGTTGCAGGCTGGATCTCTAATAGGGGTGTGTGCAGAAGGCAGCCAATCAATGATTCTCTCTCATCATTGATGTTTCTATCTCTATCTCCCTCTCCCTTGCTCTCTGAAATCAATAAAAAATATATTTTTTTAAAAGTCAATTCTTAAAAATCTTTTAAAAAGGAAAATCCAAATAAACAATCTAACTCTATACCTAAAGAAACTAGAAAAGAACAAATAAAACCCAAAGTAAATCGAAGGAAGGAAATAGTTAAGATCAGAATGGAAATAAATAGAAATTTTAAAAACAGTAAAAAACATCAATTAGACTAAAAGCTGATTCCTTGAAAAGATAAACAAAATTAACAAACCTTTAGTAAAGAAGGCCCAAATAAAATCATAAATGAAAGAGAAGGTACAGCCAACACCACAGATAAACAGAGTCACTCAAAAAATACAATTATAGGCTAACAAATTTGACAATCTAGAAGAAATGGATAAATTTCTAGAAATAACCTCCTTAGACTGAACCAGATTGAAATAGAAAATCTAAACAGAGCAATTACTGGCAATGAAATTGAAGTAGTAATAAAAAAAACTCTCAACAAATAAAAGTCCAGGACCAAATGGCTTCATAGGTGAATTCCACCAAACATTCAAAGAGTTAACATCAATCCTTAAACTATCTCCAAAAATTGAAAAGGAAGGAACACTTCCAAATTCATTCTACAAAGACAGCATTACCTTAATACTGAAACCAAAGACATTACAAAAAAGGGAGCATTTGAGATCTTGCTCTCCTGCATGTTAGCTTGGCTCAAATAAACTCTTATAAAAAGTAAAAAAAAGTAAAAAAAAAAAAAAAAAAAAAGAGCCCTAGCCGGTTTGGCTCAGTGGATAGAGCGTCGGCCTGCAGACCAAAGGGTCCCAGGTTCAATTCCAGTCAAGGGCACATATCTCAGTTGTGGGCTTGTGCAGGAGACAATCAATAGATGTGTTTCTCTCACATCCATGTTTCTCTCTTTCCCTCTCTCTTCCACTCTCCCTAAAAATCAGTGGAAAAATATCCTTGGGTGAGGATTAACAACAAAAAAAGAAAATTACTAGCTAATATTCTTGATGAACAGAGATGCAAAAATTCTCAACAAAATATTAGCAAACTGGACTCAACAAAACATTAAAAGGGTTATACACCATGACCAAGTGGGATTTATCCCAGTGATGCAAAGATGGTTCAATATCAGTAAATCAATTTGACACATCAAGTTAAAAAAAAAAAAAAGGATAAATGCAGAGAAAGTGTTTGATAAAATTAAGCATCATTTTGCCTGGCCGGTGTGGATCAGTGGTTGAGCATCGATCCATGAACCAAGAGGTCACCAGTTCAATTCCCGGTGAAGGCATGTGCCCAGGTTGTGGGCTAATCTACACCAAAGGAGACAAGGATATATAATAAATCCTAGCCACAGCAATCAGACAGGGGTGTGCAGGAGGCGGCCAATAAATGTTTCTCTCTCATTGATGTTTCCATCCTCCTCCCTTCCTCTCTCTCTAAAATCAATAAAAACATTATTTTTAAAAATTAAGCATCATTTTATGATAAAAACTCTCTACAAAGTGCTTATGGAAGGGACATAACATAATAAAGGCTTATATATGCCAAACCCACAGCTAATATACTCAATGGTGAAAAGCTGAAAGCTTTTCCTCTAAGATCAGAAAAAAGACAAGGACGCTCATTATCACCACTTCTGTTCAACGTAGTATTGGAAATCCTAGCCACAGCAATCAGACAAGAAAAAGAAAAAAAAAAGGCATCCAAATCAGAAAGGAAGAAGTAAAACTCTCATTATTTGCAGATGACATACAACATATAAAAAACCCTAAATAATCCCACCAAAAAGAAATTAGAATAAATGAATTCAGTAAAGTTGTAGGATATACAGACTCAATATACAGAAATCTGTGGCATTTCTACATAGCAATAACGAATGATAAGGAGAAATTAAGAAAAACCCATTTACAATTGCATCAAAAAGCATAAAACGCCTAGGAATAAATTTAACCAAAGGCATAAAAGACCTGTACTCAGAAAACTGTAAGACACTGAAGAAATAAGTTGAAAATGTGAATAAATGGAAGACATACCTTGCTCATGGATTGGAAGGATTAACATTGTTAAAATGTCCTTACTACCTAAAGCAAATTACAGAGTCCATGTTATCCCTATTAAAACACCAATGGCATTCGTCTCAGAACTATAACGAATCCTAAAATTTCTATGGAACCACAAAAGACTCCAAATAGCCAAAGAAATTTTGAAAAAGAACAAAGTGGAAGATGGTTCCATACTCCCTGATAAGCTATGGTATAAAGCTACAATAATCAAAACAGTATGGTACTAGAATAAAACAACATAGATCGCCCAGCCAGTGTTCTCAGTGGTTGGGTGCCGACCTATGAACCAGGAGGTCGAGGTTCCATTCCCTGTCAGGGCGCATGCCTGGGTTGTAAGTTTAGTCCCCAAATGGGAGGTGTGCAGGGGGCTGCCGATCAATGATTATCATCATTTGACGGTTTTCTCTCTCTCTCCCTTCCTTCTGAAATCAATAAAAATATATTTTAAAAAGCCAAAACATAGTTCTAGCTGGTTTGGCTCAGTGGATAGAGCCTGCAGACTGAAGGGTTCCAGGTTCAATTCCGGTCAAGGGCACATGCCCAGGTTGCAGGCTCAATCCCCAGTAGGGGGTGTGCAGGAGGCAGCCAATCAATGATTCCCTCTCATTGATGTTTCTACCTCCCTCTCCCTTCCTCTCTAAAATCAATAAAATATATTGAAAAATAATAATAAATTTAAAATATAAATAAATACAAATAAACAAATGGGACTACATCAAACTAAAAAGGTTTTGCACAGCAAAAGAAACCATCTACAAAATGAAAATACAACCTACTGAGAGACGACTTTCACAAATGATATATCCAATAATGGGTTAATATCCAAAATATATCAGGAACTCATACAACTTATCAAAACAAAACCCACGAACACACACACAAAAACAATCCTAATATATAAAAACCCTGGGTCCCTCAGCACTGGGTTGCCATGGCGACCCAGCACTGACTGCTGTGGCTGCAGGCATGGTGACCCAGCACTGACTGCTGAGGGGGCTGTGAATCAGGCCCGGTGAGAGTCCTGAAGAGAAAAGCAGGGTCTGATCCATAGCCGTTGTGGCAGCTGTTGATCAGCACTTGCCTCTCTCTCTCCCTGCGGTTGCCAGCAGCCGCGCCTCCATTTCTCTCCAGGCCTCCACCCAGGCTGCTGATCAGCCCCGCCTCTCTGATCAGGCCCTGCTGATAGGCCCAGAGACGCTGACTGGCATAGAAACCGATCAATCAGAACCAAATGTGGGTGAACTGTGAGGAGCCAATGGCTGCCTAGGAGGCGGAGCTTTTGACACTGACTGGCATAGGAACCGACCAATTAGAACCAAATCGGCCAGCAGAGGAGGGCAGTTGGGGGCGAGATCAGGCCTACAGGAGAGGGCAGTTGGGGGTGATCAGGCCGGCAAGGGAAGGCAGTTGAGAGGCGAGATCAGGCCAGCAGTGGAGGGCCATTGGGGGCGAGATCAGGCCGGCAGGAGAGGGCAGTTGGGGGCAGGCGAGATCAGGTTGGCAGGGGAAGGCCATTGGGGGCGAGATCAGGTTGGCAGGGGAGGGCAGTTGGGGGCGATCAGACAGGCAGGCAGAGAGGTTAGGGGCAATCAGGCAGGCAGGCAGAGGGGTTGGGGCAGGCAGGCAGAGGCAGTTAGGGGCAATCAGGCAGTCAGGCAAGTGAGCGGTTAGGAGCCAGCGGTCCCAGATTGCGAGAGGGATGTCCAACTGCCGGTTTAGGCCCAATCCCACAGGAATCGGGCAGTCGGCCATCCTCCAAGGGATCCCCAATCGGAGAGGGTGCAGGCTGGGCTGAGGGAACCCTCTCCTCTGTGCACGAATTTCATGCACCGGGCCACTAGTCCATTTATAAATAGGGAGAGGACCTGAATAGACATTCTCCAAAGAGGACGAACAGATGGCCAACAGACATATGAAAAGATGCTCAACATCATCAGGGAAATACAAATTAAAACCACAATGATTGTCACCACCTGTAAGAATGAACAAATAAATGCTGGTGAGGATGTGGAGAAAGGGGAATTCTCATACACTGTTGGTGGGATTGTAAATTAGCACGGCCACTATGGAAAACAATACGAAGATTCCTCAAAACATTAAACCCTACATTCACTGCAGCATTACTAGTAATAGCTGAGATACAGAAGCAACCTAGATGTCCATCAATAGATGACTGGATAAAGAAGATTCAATATATATATTGAAATATTATTCAACAATAAAAAAGAATAAAAATTTGCCATTTGGGACAACAGGGGTGTATCCAGACGGTATTATGCTAAATGAAATAGAGAAACAAATGCCACATGATTCCACTAAAAAACCCCACACAAAACAAATGAATAAACGAAACAAAATAGAAACAGACCCATAGATATAGAGAAGAAGCTAATGGTTGCCAAAGGTGAGGAGGATGGGGGTTTGGGAATAAAAAAATAAAAACCGCTGATACATTGGGTGTGGAAACTGGCCCTTGCTGCCCACCTGTTTCCCACCCCCCATTGGCCCACCCCTCTTAGGAAAACAGAATGGGGCTCACCTCTCAGGCAGAGTCCGATGGGAATTGGGCCTGGTGGGTAAGAGAGAGAGAGACATTGGTAGAAAGAAGGAGAAGACGAAATTGACAGGAGTGAAGGGGGCATCTCCAAGTTTTTAAAAGAGGATTGCCTTTCTGAATAAAATCTCCAAGAGTTTAATTCTCGAACTCCATTGGGGGGGGAAAGGGACAACACCCCATCCCTAAAGAAACCCCTCTCTTCTGAGTGCTCCGTGACGTCACGGACAGACCTGGGGGGCTAGCGACGCTAGAAGTAGACTCTGAGCCCGACCCCCCGCCTCGCCGAAACCTGGACAGACAATAAAGCTAAAAGGTGAAGCGTTTACCTGTGGCCATCTTCCCGCTGTGCCTGGGTCTGGATGGTGGGCGCCATGGCGACGAGGCGACAGCAGTCCGGACCTGGCCGAGCCGCGGGGAGACAAGCTGGGGCGTGCCGACTTCGACCGACACCTAATCCGAGGCAGCGCTCGGGCCGGCGCCCCGGTCCGTGAGGCCAGCGTCGGGATGAGGTGGGCCAGTGCGAGGAGTTCCAGGGGAGACAGGTAAACGCGCAGCCGCCGACTCTCAGCTGCGGACCCACCAACCGCCGCCAGGAGAATGGGCACGGACAGAGCCGCGAAGTCTTCTGGGAAATAGAGTCCGGGTTAAACCCACACCCGGATTGGTCAGCAGCTGGGAAAGGGGCGGAGCGAGAGAAGAGGCTTTTGTGATTGGTGAATAGGTATCTTTAGTAAGGGACGTAGGATTTGGGAATCAAGTCTTGGAAGCGCCTTCTTTCCTCCCATTGGCTGAATTGTTTGAGTGGCGCTAACTAGCAAACCGGGCCTGGAGCGGAATACGCTAAAAAGAAACCTGAAGACGCACTTATGACGCACTTCCGGCGCGCTAAGTGGGGGAAATGGCTGCGTCTCAGCCGCAGGTTCCAGCGGCTTCTTCCGCTGCTGGTGTGTCGGGTCCAGGTTCAGCTGGTGGCCTGGGTACCCAGCAACAACCGCAACCACCTACACAACTGGTGGGGTCCGCCCAGAGCGGGCTTTTGCAGCAACAGCAACAAGACTTCGACCCTGTGCAGCGGTATAAGATGCTCATCCCACAGCTGAAGGAGAGTCTGCAGGTGATCCGCCGAGAGCTGCTAGACGCTAGCGGGGTTTGGTTCTCTGACTCAAAGGAGGCAGACGGGGGTGCTGCTTAGGGAAGCAGCGAGCAGAAGGAGCGTTAGGCAAGGGAAAAGGGGTGAGACTTGGTCTTCGTGGGAGCAATGCGAGTGTTGAGCCTGGGATTGGCCAGAACTCGAGTGGGAGGGAGTTTAAAGGAGACGCCGGGCTCTGGTCGTTAAGGCCTGAGGAATTGACGGCTTGTACAGAGAGATTCTGATTGTGATTGGTGGATGAGGGGGGACCCTAAGGTATGTCGGGAGGTCATTGACGAGAACCCCAGATGACAGCGGGCCGCTGGGGAAAATACAGGTGTTTATTTAAAGCTATAGAAATGGAAACGGAAGTTACTCTGGAGTTACAGGAGGAGAAGTGGCAAAGTGAAGTTACAGGAGGAGAAGTGGCAAGTGAAGAGGAGGCCTGAGATTGGGTCTGAGGAGTGTCCCCTTCTCTTTCTCCATCTCCCGCATCTTTTTTTTTAAAACTAGACTTTGATGAAAGTTGCAGCCCAGAACTTGATTCAGAACACTAACATAGACAACGGACAGTAAGTGTATTCCCGTTTCCCAGGATCTCCATCCATGTCCACCCCATTCTTAGAAACTCATTCCCCAAGCCCCGCCCCCCCCCCCCCGCCTTTCCTCCTATTTTCAAGCCCGGTTCCCTAGCTCCTGGCCTTGCTCTTTCTGCCTCTGCTACTACTGCCAATCCCCTAGTGCCTGCCTCTGGGAACCTGTGCCTTTACCTGATTTCCTGATGGATACTTGATTGCGTAGACACTCATGTCCCAGAGACTGAAAATCATCCCTCAGTCTCCTTCTTTTCCCGGGCTATAGAAAAAGCAGTGACGGACCCATACAGCGCTTTGACAAGTGTCTGGAGGAATTCTACGCACTCTGTGACCAGCTGGAACTCTGCCTGGTAAGCGGCTTCCTAGACACGGGGTGACCACAACCCTAACTCAATCCCTGGGTCTTCAGGAATTCTTAGTCAGTCAACACAACATACAGTGAGCACCTGCTGTGAGCCAAACCTGTGCTTCAGCTGATGTTGGGCACCCGGTGTTGCCCTGATCTTAGCCCTGACAGAGCTTCCAGTTCAGTGCAGTGACATACGTCCCCAAATAATGATGGCTCAGAGCACTAAGAGTTGTGATGGGAGAAGCCTAGGTTTCAGAGTTCAGGGCTCAGATGGGGTTGGGGACACGGTTAGAGAGGTCAGAATTAAAATCAGGGAAGCTCAGGAGGCTGTGGAAGCCCAGAAAAGGCATCTAACCCTGCCTGGGGTGGTGCCAGGGAGAGAGTGGCTCAGGGAAGGCTGTTGGTAGAGAGCAGATTAGAGGCGAGGCAGTAACAAAAATTGAAGAGGGGCAGGAATTGAGAAGAGGGCAAGTAGCAAAGAGCACAGCATCTGAAATCAGATGGACCTCCAACCTCTACTTCTGACCCATGGGTTCCTCCCTAGGAAAATGGATTTTCAGGAGAAACTCAGCAAGTTCATGCATGTACTAGACACATGACAAATGTTTCCTGTAGTATCATGTTGTCATCATTGTTTTTGTAGTATCATCGTCATCATTATTTTGAATTAGATTTTAAAGTCAGAGTTTGAGAAGACTGGTAGTGGTAGAAAGGTATTCCAACCAAAAGGAACAGCTTCTGCTTTAGGAATGTCATGAAATACAGTCTGACTGAGGTGTATTTGGCATTGGGGTTTGTTGATTTTTTTTTTTTTAAGTGCTAGTGGTAAGATTTATTAGGATAAAAGAGGCAAGATCATAGCAATGGGAATAAACCTAGACTGGGATGCCTAGACTCAGAAAGGAAAGTTAAGAGGCAAAAGGAGAGGCTTTAAAGCCCACTGCACCCCCAGTAGCAAGGCTCATGGGGACCCTTAGAGTTTAGGAGAAAAGAAAGCAAAATATGGCCCAGGGGGTAGGAGGCAGCCGGGGAATGGGGGCAGGTTGGAAGAGGTTAATGGGGGAAAAAGGAGGACCTATGTAATACTTTCAATAATAAAGATTTTAAAAATATATATATATGGCCTGAGGGAAGGAAGGGGAGGTTGCTCCAATGTTGTTGAATTTTGAAAACAGCCCTAAGGGTGCTGGGAAGCCATCCAGGGTTTCAAGCTTGGAAGAACATGGACCCATTGCTTTTTGTTGTTTTCTTTAATCCTCTCCCAAGGATTTTTTTTTCATTGATTTTTAGAGAGAGTAGATGGGAGGGGGAGAGACAGAGAGAAATCTATGTGAGAGGGACACATCGATTGTTTGCCTCCCGCACACACCCGACCAGGGATTGAGCCTGCAACAGAGGCACATGCCCTTGACCGGGAATCAAACCTGGGACCCTTCAGTCCTCAGGTGAACACTGTCCACTGAGCCAAACTGGCTAAGGCATTTTATTTTATATTTTTGGGTTTATTTATTTATTTATTTTTAATTGATTTCAGAGAGGGAGAGACAGAAACATCAATGATGAGAGAGAATCATTGATTGGCTGCCTCCTGCACGCCCCCTACTGGGGATCGTGCCTGCAACCTGTGCATGTGCCCTTTGTCGGAATCGAACCTGGGACCCTTTAGTCCACATGCCGATGCTCTATCCATGAGCCAAACCAGCGAGGGCTTATTTTATGTTTTTATTTCTCTTTAGAGAAAGAGGAAGGGAGAGAGAGAGAAACATTGATCAGCTGCCTTCTGCATGCACCTTCCTGGGGATCGAGCCCGCAACCTGGGCATGTGTCCTGACCGGGAATCAAACCTGCAACCTCTCAGAACATGATCCATTGCATTTTAAAGAATATTCCTCTGGCTCCCAAATGAGGGATGGGTTAAAAGGGCCAAGGGTGGAGGCTGGGATTTCAAGGAGACAGCCATGGCAGGATTTAATGGGCAAGGCTCTGGCGAAGGGCAAATGAGCGACTCAGGTTTCTGTACAGCCATGGAACTGATGGGTTGTGAGAGGAGGAGCCTCGAGGATGCAGCCCAGGGCTCTAGTTGGAGTGGTTGGGTCATTAGTTAGACAGGGACCCAGGAAGAGGAGCAGTTTGGGGTTGCGGAGAGAGCGTCAGAGCTCTGGAATTTCAGGAGAGGCTGGGGACATACATGTACTATCATCAGTGCAGAGGTGGGTTCTGAGTAGTGTGTGGGGATGAGATAGCCCCAAGAGGGCATAAGAATGAGAGGAGGAGGTGGGCCATGCAAAATGCTGCATTTAAGGCTTGGATAGAGCAAGTACATAGGAGTTCAGAAGCCTGCATGCTACCCCAGGCTGGTTCTTGGGGCAGGGTTGGGAGTACCCAGAATGAGGCTGATGCTGCACCTTGCCTGCCTGTCCACAGCGCCTGGCACATGAGTGCCTATCACAGAGTTGCGACAGTGCCAAGCACTCTCCCACGCTGGTGCCCACAGCAACCAAGCCAGATGCAGTACAGCCCGACAGCCTACCCTATCCTCAGTACCTGGCAGTCATCAAAGCCCAGATTGCCTGTGCCAAGGACATTCACACCGCTCTGCTAGACTGTGCCAACAAGGTTACTGGGAAGACTTCTGCACCACCTACTGGCTCTGGGGGTGCCTTGTGAGCTGGCAGGGCTGCGAGTGAGCAACTTGTGGGGGAGAGGGACAGGGAAGGAATGAAGAGTGACCTCAAAGCAGCTTTGTCTCTGACTTTTCTTCCCACCTGAGTTCTTGGGTGGCAGCCAGCAGGGGGCAGCAGAGGCCACGGGGAAGAGGGGGTGGGGAGCCACTCTGTGGGTGGCCTGCTCTCCCTAGGGAGTGTGGACTTTGGACTGTGCCTGTGGAAAACCTCTTCCTGGGATGCTTCCATTATCTGCCCTGAGTTTGAAACCCTAACTGGGCCCCTGTCCCTCTGTCCTTACTTGACTCTGTCCCAGTATGGGTGTGGTCTCTGTGCTCCTTTTTCTAGCTGTTCCCTTGTGTGTCTCTGCTGCATGTATCTATTATCTCTCTCATTCAGCCTTTTTGTCCATATGTCTGTCTCTCTGCCTCTGTGGTTCCGTGTCTCCCTATCGCTGACCATCTTTCAGTCCCCCTTTGCTGGCCTCTGCCCCCAACTCCTCACTGGAACTCTGTGTCTCTGAAGGAGACCAGATTCTGGGAGCCAGAACCTCTGGGATACCAAAGGCGAGGGGAGGGAGCTTCATTTCCAGGAGCTAGCTAACAGCCAAGCCAAGGGATCCCAGGCACCTCCCATGTCAGCCCAGCCCCCAGTATCCTTGGCCCAGGAAAGGGGAAGTAATGGGGTCCAAGCCCTGACCTCAGCATGCCTGGTTGGGGAGCAACTCAGGCCCCCACCCGTACCCAGGGCCTGCGTCAGCATCACTTAAACTGGGGGCATTGTGCAATCTGTGGTGAAGCCTTGGCCCAGCTGGATGCCTGGGTCACCATATTTTTAGGCCCAAAGCAGAAGTGAAAGGGCCTCAGAAGGGGTGAATCATCTGTCCTGGGGAAGAACCCAGGTGCCTTGCCTGGGCCCCAGCTCTGGGAAGCAGGCCTTGGGGAGGGGGCTTCAAGGAGGGAGTGCCCTACCAGGCTCCCCACTTCTCTGAGAGCAAGCTTTGGAGAGCTCAGCCATGGCCTTCAGGCCTAGGCAAGTGTAGGGTGTAGCTGCCAGCCCAGGCCTAGTTGGAGGGGTGTGAAAGGCTCCAGTGACTCAGCCTGGTTGGGGAACTGCCCCACCCAATATCTTCTGTGCCCTGATTCCCATGTTCCTGCCCAGAGGCCTCTTGTTCTGGACCCCGCATCTGCACGGAAAGCCCAGGAACATGGAGACCCATGATTTACCCAAAGCCCAAGTCCCCACACTGGAGTCCTTGGAAATGGCCAGCCGTGTGGGTGTGGGTATGGGGCAAGTAGGACAGGCCCACGGGAAGGGCAGCAGATCTCTGGGTCACTAGCTGAAGCTGCTGTCCACAGGTAGAATTTCTTCCTCAGGGAAGCCACATTTCTGCCCATTTATTTGACTGAATCAACTCCCCAGGTCATCTAGGGTATTTCCTTTACTTAAAGTGAACTGATTATAAACTTTAATCACATGTACAAAATTCACAGCATCATCTAGATTACGGTTTGATTGAATAACAGGGGACTGTAGCCTAGCCAAGTTGACATGTAAAACTGACCATCATAATCTAGTCCTTGTCGATTTGGCACCCATACACATCTAATTAACCATAGTTAATCTCTAATTAAATACAAGAACAAAGTCATCTTCCCACCTAACATGATGCAATTATCTGTACAGCCAGAAATGCACTCTTTACCCCAAAGAGCCCCCTGGCTCCCAGCCTGGGGTACATGATGTATATTAGTGGGAGATGTAGGTCACAGCACACACATTCAGGGGACATGCACAACTGTCCTGTGAGGTGGAGTCAGCACCAGAAACTTACTAAGAAAATCATAAGGAATGAAAAATACAGTATTTATTGAAAAAAATCCACATGTGAGTGGACCTGCCCAGTTCATGGGTCAGCAGTATGTCAAATAGAAGTTCCAAGAAGAAAAATAAAGCAGAAAACTGGGATCAAAAGTAGAGAGACTTTTGATTGGGGGAAGTGGGGTGGGGAGTAGGAATAAATAACACATGCAAGACTTGCATGTGAAGAATTACTTTATTGAGAAAGTTTGAGAGCTTAGGTTGGGTAGTGGTTTATAGGTATTCATTATTATGGTCTGTAAATAGATGTCCCATGTATTTATTAGTTGTTAAGTAGATAGCAATATTTTTTTTTAAATCTTTGACAGAGGATATGAAGGCCTCACTGACAAGATTGACTTGAAGGAGAGAGAATAAGTTATGAAAATAAGGGCATTGAGGGAAACAGCATTCCAGGAAGAGGGCATGGAATGGCAAGTGCAAGGCCCCGAGGCAGGAATGTGACAGTGTTTATGGAATAATGTGGAGGCCTGGACCATAGTGAAGGAGCTGGAATAGAAGCCAAGACAGGATATGGAGGACCTTGGTTTAGATCTTCACTGGATTATTCAACCCAGAAGGAGATTGTACAGTCAGGGGACATAGGGACTTATCTCACCCCACCCAGCAGGGAACAGCATAACCCGCCATCCTACAATCATGGTGTACTCATGGTCTTAGCACAAGCCCACAGACTAAAGGAACAATTCAACCATGTAAAATATATAAACAACCCTCTAACCACCACTTAATCTGCTATCTCTCACCCCATCACAGACTTTGCCCATGACAGGCTGACTCAGCCCTGCCCACAATCAACACTATCAAAAGCAGCCTTGGCTGGGGAGAGATAGATAGTTTCCCAGGTGGCAATGTGTGTGTGCCTGTGTGTCTGGTTGGTCCACAGAGGCCACCAGGATCAGCGAAATGGAGTGGGGTGTGCGCCAGCTGTCCGCCCCATCATCATGTTGCTTCTAGACGTCAGGAACCAAAGTTCACCAGTTTCACTGCCTTGTGACTGGCCACAGAGGAACCGGATCCAGATAGTGGCCTCATGTCCTCAGCAACACCCCCCAAATAAGGACACAGACACATAACATTCACTACACACACTGAGCTGCAGGAACCTTGCACACAGCTACAACTGCCTGTAATCTCACAGATACTTGAAAATAAACAGATTTTAATCTCACAGATACACACTCAACTTTGAAGTGTGTGCACAGATCTTTATCGTACAAGAGGGCAGTCATACCCCCACTGGGCTCCCTCAAGGAGTTACACTTAGTCACTCCAGATCCCACAGTGGGTCAGAGCTATACATAGGTGTGCGATGGGTAAGTCACACTGTCATGAATGCCGCCTCAAAGGCAGTTAGAGTTGAGTACATACTCAAGATGGTTAAAGTAACATGGTAGAATCAATCACACAGGTCCAGGCGGTTTCACACATTTATTCACAGGCATGTCAAGTGGGATTGGAAGACACAGGCCTCACACAGTAAAATGGACCGCAGGCACCCCGGTCTCACAAACCCAGGCAAACCAGGTGCACATCTTCACACCTGCAGCGCCCACACTTCACACAGCGACCGATACACACGCCCCGGTGGCCCCACGCATGTGCACACAGCCCACCGCTCCTGCTCACGCCCAGTCCGGCCGGGCGCACACCCGGCCGGGACCCGCACGTGCCTCCGGCGCAGGGCCCCGCTCGCCCGCGCACTCTCGCAGGCTCTCACACCCCCGCGTTTCCCGTCCCCGCTTGTTTTTCTGGAAACTACTCTCCACTCCCCTCCCCCTAGGCCGGAAGTGCTCGCTGTATTTTTAGCCTCTCTGGTTTCCGCCCCTTTCCCCCTTCTGCCGGCCTAAGACCTGCCCCGGGTGCCCGCGGGGTACCCGGCCATCCCCCTCCCCACCGTCATTCCAGAGGGGATTCCCGGCCGCTGGCGGGGCCCCGGATTTTCCCGCTGGCTACGCGGGGAGTGGGGAGGAGTCCTGCCCTGAACTTCCGCCTCAGGCCCGGGCCAAGTTGGAGAGGGGATAGGAGCCGGGCTGCCAAGTCCGAGGAAAGGGGCTGGGGGCTCGGACTCGGGTCTGACGAAGGACTGGGCGAGGGGCCGGCTGTCCCGGGTCTGAGAGTGGAGGGGGCTGGGACACCGGACCCCTAGATCTGGGCAAGGAGTGGCCGGAGCCCGGGCTTCTCGGCCCGCCCGCCGGTTGCGGTAGGTGGCCCGTCCTTGCTGGTGCCAAGGCCCCCGCCCCCTCCAGCCTCTAGGAGAGCTGCCCTGTCCCAGCGTCCAGGTTGTGGTTGACTCAGCACAGGGACGAGGGGAGGGGGTCAGCCTGACTCAGGCTGGGAAAGGTCCCAGGCTCCTGGGAATCGACACTGGAATCCTTCCCCCAGGATCGCTCCGAAGACCCCAGGGTGTCCCCCACCCCGGCTTCCCGCGCCTTCGTCCTACTAGCGGCCGAGGGGTCTGGAGCCTGGCCCGGGGGCGGGTGCCAGACACCTCCCCTTTCAACCTTTTCCCGTTGTCCTCGAGCCTCTGTTTACAGGCGACTGAAGCCCTGGTTACAGAGGAACCGGGCGTCACGGCTTCCAGGAAGCCCCCTCCCCCCGCCCCTTGCGAGTGAGTCACGGGAGGCTGCAACCGTGCGGAGCCGCCCGAAGCGGCCCAGCTCACGGGACCGGCCGGGAAGGCCCGTCTGTCGCCCCAGAAGGCGCCGCACCAGGGATTCCCCTGAACTCTGTCCGACGAGGCAGGTCGGCGTGCTTGACCGAATCTCCCACCTCCACACAAGCCAGCAGTCAGCCTGCACTAGTGAACTTTGCACCATTGTAACCACTCCGTGGCAATGATTTCTGCCCCCGATTTTCACGCAGGGCAGCCAGCTCACCAAGACTCCCTTAAGAAGAGTTTTCTTCCCAGATCACAAAGTTCTCGCGCAGGGCAACCCTTTGACAATAAACCACTTGAGAATGTGGGAAAGGTTCCGGCAAGTTTAGAATTCCCTCAAGGCACGCCTCTCTCTAAGTCCCAGGACCATCAGTTGTGGATGACCCATTTCTTCCATCTCAAAACAGCTTTTAATCAAGGTAACCCTCCACCATAATAAAAGATTGAGATTTCCAATCTTGGGTTTTCCCAGAAAGCAAACTCTTAACATGATTTATTGCCCTGGTATTAGGCTGCTGCCATTTACTAAGTAGAAGGAGAGTAACTTGACCTCTATTCCTGGGTTTCCTCGTGTGTAAAATGAACACAATAACCCCTCCTTGAGTTAACGAACTTAAAAGCACTTTCATATGACGGCATCTAGCCCAGAGAAGGCCATCAGAAGTGCCCTATCTGCGGGAGGCCGCGAGGCTACAGCGGCTCTGGAATTGGGAAGGGAGGCCCTTTCCAGTCTTGCCAGATACCGGGGTCCCCACCCCTCGCGAGTGAGGGTGCGGAGGGCCGAGGTCTGCGGATCTGGGCTGTTTGAGGGCGAAACCAAGGCAGGCGGGTCGGTCTCCCAAGAGAATTCTCTGCCAGGCCTTTGGTCTCTTCTGTTTTGCTCCTGCATATTTTTGTCTTGTGGGTTATTTGTTTTATTTCCTCCCTCTTTTTATTTATTTGACTTCCCCTCTAGCTTTTCGCTCTGAATTTGTCCCTGGGACTGTCTCTTCACGTCTTTTCTGCCTGTGTCCCCACCTCTCCTTACCCTGTTTTTTCCTTCTCTTCGTATACCTCCCTGTGTGTGTCCCTCCCTCCCTCTGCTGTGTATCTGTGTGTTTCTCTTTGCGTCTCTCCATTTCTGGGTCTCTGGCTCTCTCCGCGCTTCTCCCCGCCGCCGGCGTCAGTCTTTCTCCCACGCGCACGCCCACTGCCTCGGCCTCTCCCCTCGTCGATTTCCCCTGGAGCCCTGCCCCCACCTCCGTCCCAGTTCCCTTCCCGGAGCCTCAGTCTCCAGCCTTGAAAAGGGGCCGACACCCCCATCCCACGCACTCCTCGCAGGGTCGCGGCCGCTGGTGGGCCCAGGTCCCGCGCGTCCCGGCCGGGGGCGGGGCGGAAGGGAACCAGTCCCGGGCCGGGCGGGCTGCGCTGCGCTGGGGGGTGCGCGTCCGGGAAGCGCCCCTCCTGGCCCCGCCCACCAGCGCCGGCCCCGCCCCTTTTTCTATAAAATCGCCGACTCCTCCACCCAGCGGCAGCTTGGCCCCGGCGCTCGCACGTTCTCCCGGGTTTCCCGCAGATCACCCTTCTGCGTCGCCATGGATCTCAGCGCCCTCTACGAGGTGAGTCCCCGCCGACCGGCACCCTGGGGTCCCCGTGCCCAACGGACTCCCTTCTCAAACTAGGGCTCTGTGGCATCGCCAACTCCGGCCGGCACCCCTGGCTCTCTACTCAAACTGGAGCTCCTTAGCGCCGCCCGCTCGGGCCCGGGGTCCTGCCTCCCTTCCCAGTGTGGTTCCCTGGAGGTGAAAAATGGAGCCTGCGACTTTCGGGTCTCGGCCCAAACCTGGATAGGGCGTCCCTAGGAGATGGAAAGCTGGAGGAGTTTTCTCAAACTAGGGCTGTCTGGAGGCGGAAATGGCCCCACACCTGGCTTCCCCCCAGTAGTTGCTGAGGGTGCGGTTTTATGCGGAGACGTTTCAGGGGCTGGAATCTTGGGGTGAAAAAGGCGATTTATGAACCAAGAGAACTCTGGGATTCCAAAACCGAAGAGATCGCACTCCTGGGTTAACTTTGCCGCCCCGCCAGTTGTGAAACTGGAGAACACGAAGCGCTGGGGTCAAATCCCGAGAGACCCAGAGGCTCAAAATTGGTGGACAGTGGTGTGCCCTGAGTGGGGAGCCGGGATTCCTGGGCCCCTCGAGATGGGCTTCTGTCCCGAAAAAACTCAGAACTTCCAATTTGGGATCCCCACAATCTCTAACCCATGGGTTTCTGCGGGCGGGTGGGGCTCAGGCCAGCAACCCACAAACTGGACTGGCAAGCTCTGAGGTGCCCTGCAGCTGGGGAGGGGCGCCACTTGCATTTTCGGTGTTATAACAGATCCCTGTTCCCACAGAGCCTCCTGTTGCTGAGCCCTGATCTGCTATCCAACCAAGGAGATACTGAGTCCAGCCCAGGCTGGGCCTCTGGACTCTGGAGCCCCAGCTCATCAGACTCCAGTTCCGCTGGGGTCGCTGCCCGCCTGCCTGGCCGTTCTACCAGCCTGGTAGAGGGTCGAAGCTGTGGCTGGGTGCCCCCACCCCCAGGCTTCGCACCCCTGGCTCCCCGCCCAGGCACTGAGCTGTCTCCCTCACCTACTTCCACCCTCACCACCTCATCCAGATACAAGACTGAGCTATGTCGAACCTTCTCAGAGAGCGGGCGCTGCCGCTATGGGGCTAAGTGCCAGTTTGCCCATGGCCTGGGCGAGTTGCGCCAAGCCAGTCGCCACCCCAAGTACAAGACAGAACTCTGCCAGAAGTTCTACCTCCAGGGCCGCTGCCCCTACGGCTCACGCTGCCACTTCATCCACAACCCCAGTGAAGACCTGGCCTCCCCTGGCCACCCCCATATGCTGCGACAGAGCATCAGCTTCTCAGGCCTGCCCTCTGGCAGAAGATCCTCGCCGCCACCAGCAGGCCTGGCAGGCCCTTCCTTGTCCTCATGCTCCTTCTCGCCCTCCAGCTCCCCACCACCACCACCTGGGGACCTTCCACTTTCACCCTCTGCCTTCTCTGCTGCCCCTGGGACTCCTGTGGCCCTAAGGGATCCCACACCAGCCTGTTGTCCCTCCTGCCGAAGGGCCACCCCTGGCAGCGTTTGGGGACCTGTAGGTGGCCTGGCTCGGAGCCCCTCTGCACATTCCCTGGGATCTGATCCCGATGATTATGCCAGCAGCGGCAGCAGCCTGGGAGGGTCTGACTCACCCGTCTTCGAGGCTGGAGTTTTTGGACCACCCCAGCCTGTAGCCCCTCGGCGACTCCCCATCTTCAATCGAATCTCAGTGTCTGAGTGACAAGTGCCTGCCCAGTACAGATCAGCTGTATCTCAAGGGGGGCCATTTCTCTTGTGCTATGGTCTCCACAGAAGCCCTGGGGCTGTGGGGATATGGGGAACTCAATCAAGTGGCCTCACTGCCTTCCAAATGCATTAACCTACTCCCCTGACCCTGTTCTGGGGCAGGTCCCCAGTGGGCAAGCTCAGTGTTCCTGGTGTCGGAGGAAGGAGTGTATTCTGGAGTCTTTTTTTTTTTTTTAATATGTAGCAAATTTGAGGGTGGCAGTGAACCCTCTCCACACCACCGCTCCCCTTCCCAATGCTGTGAATAATAGGCCCCTACTGCCCCTCTCGATTTTTCCTAGACCCCTGAGGTTCTGGTGTGACTGGTGGTGACTGGAGCCTTCCCCTTGAGGGTCAATCCTGGTGCTCAAATTTCCCTCCGAAAGCAAGTAGCCAAAGTCATTGCCAATCCCCTCTCCCCAGCCATTGGGCCCTTTATTTATGACGACTTTATTTATTCTAATAGATTTTATAGTATTTATATATATTGGGTCGTCTGCTTCCCTTATATTTTTCTTCCTCTTTTTTGTAATGTTGGAAATGATGGAATAATTATTATTATAAGTATGCTATAATATATTAAGTAATATATATTGTTAAAGTTTATTTTTGTGTTTTTTGGAATTTTTAAATAAAAGTCATCTGTGTGTAAAATCCAGTCCTGGCTTTTCTCCGGTCTAGAGGCAGTGAGGAGTGGGGAGGATGGTGTGGCCCTTTTTTGAATCCGGGAGAATCCATCCATAGTTGCTCCAAACCTTTCCTGAGCAGAACTGCCCTCCCCTCTTACCTGGCAGGAAGTGATGTCACCTGGACCAGCAGTTCACCTGAGAGGGCGGGGCCAGGTGAGGTCACCAGATAGAAACCGGGAGAGCCAGTTCCCAGGGCGTGGGGGACGCTGGCGCTCCCGTCTGGTCCGGCTCTTCGACCGACTTCAGCCCGGGGCGGGTGGAGATGGGGTGTTTCCGTCCGGGCTGGCGGAGTAGGGAGGGCGGGGCGGGGCTGCGCTGGGAGAACGGAATGTGCCGGAGAGCCGGCGGGGGCGGGCGGGGCGGGGGGCACTGACGTCTGGGGGTCCGTCACCCAGCTTTCCAGGACCTAAGGGGCTGGGGGACTCAGAATCTCGCCATCTCGTGGGAGGCAGCGTTAAATCTCAGGGCCCTGGAATCACAGCTGTGGATGACGAGGGGCCACAGCTCAGGGGAGGCCTGCATGCAAACCTTACAAACTCAGAGACCCAGAAACCACATAGGATGGTCTGAAATCTGGAGAGGCCTACGCTCTGTCCACTGAGCCACACTGGCTAGGGCCTCCTTTTTTTTTTTTTAATTTAAGTTCCTTATTGTTTAAAGTATGACATCTGTCTCCTTTTCCCCCAATGACCTCTCCCGGCCGCTCCCACCCACCTACCCCTCCTTTGATTGTAATGTCTAAGATTCAAATCTGCTGTTCTCTGGAGCATTTTCTCAGTGAGATTTTCCTTCCCAGCAATTGTCGTCAGTTTGACTCAAATAAACTCATAAGAATTCTTACAGGTTAAGTGAAAGAAGCCAAACTGAGAAAGCCAAATATCACATGATCTCACTTATTTGTGGAATCTAAAGAACAAAGTGAATTGAGTCAATTCAATTGACCAACAAAATAAGACCCGGAGCCTGGAGGCACGGACCAGCCTGACAGACCTCCGGGCGGGGTTGGGGGAGGAGAAGAGATAAACCGGAGATTTATATACTTTCAAGCACAGCCCTGGACCGGGCCGTAGCGGGAAGCCCTGGGGGCAGGGCAGGGGAGGGCCTGGGAAGGGCGACAGGAGGGTGAAAGGGAGATACGTGTAACACTATCAGTAATAAAAAATATTTTTTAAAAATTCTTCCAGGTTTGGACGTTTCTTACGCGGACACATTTTGGAACCTCACAGCTAGTGTCCGGCCACCTAGAAGTCTAGGCCTGGCGCCCGGCGCCTACACAAACGGCGGAGCTGTAGCTTCTGGCGGCCGGGACCCTCGAGCTTCGGGGGCGCCGCCCGGCTGCCCGGGGCTGAGAAGTTCGGGCTCCGGCTGCGAAGCGCCCGCCTGGGCGCGGGGTCACGTGCGCGGCCCGCGGCACCTCGCACCATACAAGGCAAGAGGCGGCGGGACCCTCCCTGCGGCCGGAGCCCGGAAGACGCTCCGCGTCAGGGGCCACGCCCCCCCCTTTCC